TCCCGCCGCCCCGGCGCTGCGCTGCTCCGGCGGCCTGGGGAGCTGCTTCGCCGAGATAAGAGACCATAGGGTATCCGAGATCACATTCCCACACTCCGAATTTTCCAATAATGCCGAGAGTACTGACCTAACAATTAACTGTGTTGCAAAGGGGGCCTCTTCACCTAGCCCAAAGACAAACAATGCATTTCCACAACAAAGAATACTCAGAGAGGCAAGGAAATGCCTTCAAGCAACTACTACACACCGTGCAGATAACAATACAATAGCTGCTAGGTTCTTAAATAATGATTCTTCATCAGCGGCAGCAAATTCAGAGAAAGATTCCAAAATCCCTCATTGTATTGAATTTGCCACGGATTTGCCCTCTTTACAAACTGATCCTGCGGAGGATGCTGCTTCTCCAGGGGCAGCAGCAGCAGCTGAGCTCCAGTGCACTGATACAGGCAATAAGGCATTGCCATTCCTGCACAGCATTAAAATCAAAATAGAGGACAGCAGTGCGAACGACGAGTATGAGCCTGATCTTACAACACATAAGCTAAAGTGTGAGTGCAATGATACTAAGGATGAGTTTTACGGTGTGACTGAGAGTAATAACCAGGACGCTTTATTAACAGCCAAGGAAGATTCTGCATGCACTGAGAAAGAAACCACTTCCTTAAACCCGCTGACTCAGAGTCAGGTCCTCTCATGCACTTTAGGTACTCCAAAACCTGAGGATGGGGAGTATAAATTTGGAGCAAGGGTGAGAAAAAATTACAGGACACTGGTTTTGGGAAAGCGACCTGTACTGCAGACTCCTCCAGTCAAACCAAATTTGAAATCAGCTCGAAGCCCACGTCCTACAGGTAAAATCGAGACACATGAAGGAACACTGGATGATTTTACAGTTAACAATAGACGCAAAAGGGTAGCCAGCAATGTAGCATCAGCAGTGAAAAGGCCATTTAATTTCATGGCAAATTTTCCCTGTCCACCATCACTAATTATTGGCAATGATGGGGATTTGTTGCCAGCTTATTCCTTAAACACCACTAAGGATTCCCAACCACCTCACAAGGCCCATCCTGTATGGAAATGGCAGCTGGGCGGTTCTGCAATACCTCTTCCACCTAGCCACAAATTCAGGAAATTTAATTAATAAAATAGTTTGGAAAATATTTTCTTGAACCACCTTTAACTTTCTTACGTTGTTTTTTTTTTTTTTTTTTAAACTCTGCAGGATGGTTTGTACAAGCCCATTAATGCTATACACACTTTTGGAATCCCGTTTTATCACATTGTGAAGACAGAAACCGGATTACTATTTTATTTACCATTACAACAGTGGCGTTTTTTTGTTTATTTGGGGGCTTTGGGGTTTTTTGGTGCTTCTTTTTTTTCTGTTGCATTGTTGTGGGGTTTTTATTTTATTTCATTTTATTTTGTTACATTCCACAGAGTACTTCAGGCTAAAGACTCAAGTTAAACTCAGTTATTATGGTAGAGCTGGAACACTTTACTGTTTAAATGCTAATAATGCACCAGTACCTCAATTCAACTGCTGCAAATAAATGTCAAAAGGTTGAATAATAAATATTAGAATGAGCCATTAAATTTATGCACTAGATTTCGAAAATGGAAGTCTAACTGTTAATTCAGTTAAAGTTTGTTAAGTTACATGGTTGCACAGTAAGGGTTCACTATAATTCAATGTGGCAGCAGCCTACTTTTCGGGAGCTTTGTTTTCGGGTGCAGGGGTGTCTTTTTCAAAGAGCAGTTGCACTTACTCCTTTTTCTCTGGTTTGGAAAGCCTGGGGTCCGCCTGCGACCCCAGCGCTGGGAAAAGCTGCCTCATTTGAAACCAGTAAATAAATGTGGAATTCTATTTTTGGTAAAAGGGTGTCTTTTTACTTGTACAGCCACTCTTTGCAATTGGGAAGCCTTTTTGTTTCACCCAGAGGTCTTAAATAAGGTTGCTGTTACCCACTAATGTCATACTTAAGTTGTGGTCTGAACATGCCCCTTACAAAGTTGCAAAGCAACTAAAATATTTGCCCGGCCAGCAGCACAATTTATGGTCCAGCCCCTCACGCTGGCTGGAGGAAATAGCAAAGCAGTAAATACAACACAGAAAGTGAAATGAGAGGCCGTAAGTGGAAAGATTACACAAAATGAGAAGACCATGTTATTCATAGCTTTTTTGGCACCAAAACTCAGGCGTTTCAACCGTGTTACACTTCCTGGTTCTATCCTCATCTCTTGAAATTTGCTGTCGTGTGGGGGGTTTTTTGCCATGCCATCCTCTCTCTATGTAGCAGAAACATTTCTACTGCACGTGACAATCAGAGGCAATTATCTATATTTGCACTTAATATCGAAATAGTGAAACAGGCAGACTTCTAGAGTCTAGCCCTCGGTAAGACATGCTGGTATAATATATTGTGATGATGGAAGCAGTAAATCAAAATTATGGAAATTTGCACTGTTGAAAGCATGCTTTAGCTTTATTTTCAATTAAAAACACTGTTTTAAAAAAATCCTGATTCCAAACACTTTGAGTTATTGCAGAGTTATCCGTGGTTTCCTCTCCGTTTGTAAGTTCACTGTTTTTATTTGGAGGAAATACGCTTCAAGAGGTTAACTGTTTCCCTCCCTCCTCCCCCCCCCAATCTCTCGAAAAGAAAGGGAAGAAAAAAAAAAGGGAGAGAGAAAGGCTGGAGGCCGAGGTAGAGGCAGAGCTGAGGACGGGGAAGGTCTCTCTTGTGGGGGGAGGACGGGTACAGCAACTCTGAAAACAGCCTGAAAAGTTTGCAGCTTGAGAAAGGCAGTAATAATGGAGTTGCTGAATCAGCAGAGTTTAGGATGAATAATTGCTGGTTTCTTTCTTTGGATTAGCATTTTATTTATACTAGATCATTCACAAATTAAATTTTAAGGATTCCACTCATCGATCAATCCCGGGAGAATAATTTATCGTAAATCAAAAAAGGAAAACAAAGCAACAATGTAATGTTTACTGTGTGACTCAAAGTCAACATTTCTGCTGGCAATCCACTGCCTGGGTTTCAATTTTTTAATTCCTGCCTTTTGTGATGCCTTCTCCCAACCCCTCTTGTCTCCAAATATTCCAAGCAGTCACTAACTGATTTCAGCTCTGTTTACTATATCCACACCGGAGTTTTCCTCTCATTGTAAAAGGCCTAGTCTAAGAATACCTGCAGCCAAATATATTTAGAAAGAGTAAACAATTGCCTTTCAGTGGAGTTACCCTTCCCCCCTGCATGCACACGCACACACATCACTTTAAGCTGCCAATTGCAAAAAGGTGCATTGCATACTTAACCGCTCTGCTGAAATTACGATGGTCATGAAAAATCTGCTTACTGAAGTTGTTCTGAGATGAATGTTTACATTCGTGTGTTTAGAGCTGCACAGATTTCAGCCTTATTTCCAGAGAACTGAAAGTACGTACAAAATGTACTGCTCAGGAAAGCCCCCCGCTCAGTCAGAAACCGTGTCCACTTGACAAAGGTCTTCCCTTCACCAAAAAATAAAATAAGGAAAGAAAGGGAAAAAAAGAAAGATCCAAAAGCTACAAAAGTGCAATATGCAAACTTGAAACCTAAAATTTTGCCTTGTCAATTAAACAACGTATCACTTTCAAAGTAACTCTGTCCCCTGACCCTGTTTACTTCCAATTAGAGATATGCTGATTTGGCCAGTAATTGTAAATTACAGAGGTGCCTTTTCAGGTTCCCGAAATAATCCTGGGGAGGGGGAGGGGAAGGAATAAGCATAAATTTATACCAAATAGGCTCTGCAGGGTTGAGGACGTGAAATACAGCTCCAGGCCCTGCTAGCAGCCCGGGAGCTCCAGGCACCCCCCGGCAGGCTGCATCCCTTCTGGGGCTCCCCTCCACCCAGGCCACATCAAACGGCAAGGACTCAACCAGCCAAATAATTTTCACACGTGCACACTTCAGTTTAGTGCAAGACACTAACAGGGACGTTCGTGGGTTTACCACCATTGGAGAAATTAGCCAGGTACAATTACTCATTAGGGTGAAAAAAAAAAAAACAGGCGAGGGGAAGGATTAAAAAAAGTATTCTCCCCAATTCTGGTAGTTTGGTAACTGTTTCTGAGGACATTGGAAGTATTATTGCGATCAGAGTTTGTTATCATTTCAGCCTTTATCATGTGAAGTCTTATCATTGACTTGTGTAAAAATAACCAATGTTCTCCCATAAAGGTAAGTTCTAATAATGAGGAAAACCCAAGGTTTTCCAACGGAGCCAGGCTACCATTTTGCTGCAATGTTTACAGGAGATAAAACTTAAAATGTATTAGTCATGATTCGCCACCATTTCCCAACTCCTGGTGTACACAAAAATCAAGAGAATTTTCTAGAGGAAAAAGCAATCGAGGGAATGTGTGTACTTTATGGACTATACTCCATAGGTATTTGCCACAAGTAGAGTTCACCGGTAAATTTATTGGGAAGATTTCTGCTGCCAGATGGAAGACAAAAGAAAGTTTTGGACTCTGTTTAATTCTCTAGAGCATTAAAAAGGGAACGTGTAATGCCTTCAGCGACGAGGTATACTGCCTTAAAAGATGCAACTTTGCCGTTTACAACAATTTACTTTAAGAAGTGATTGTTCTATAACCTACTCTTACTTGACTACAGTGGGATAACCTCTTTACTGGTTGTTTATTTAAAATGCCACTACTAGCAATAATGCAAAGTAGTGGTAGCTGTTGTACGAAGTTTGCTGTTTAATCAATTCACATGGTGATTTTTTACATGGTCTCTGATCCCTTTTCCCCTAACAGATTTAGTTGCCAATAAATTAAAGTTTCTGCAGAAACGAGAGCAATGCTATCATGTTTGTGTTTGTCACTGTTCACACGTGCAAGTGGTTGAGACAGAAAAGGGTAAAAAAAAGTGGCATTTTTGACACACGGTGGTAATCTGCAGGAAAATATTCTACATATGCAGTATGATGGAGAACGTGAAACATGGATAACCTTGTTAATTGTGGTTTTTATGGTTAAGAGGATTGCTGGGAAGAATATGTAATGGCTCATCTTGGGATCTATTTGGTCAGCTTGGAGGTACAAAAGGAGGGGGAGAGCCGGAAAAAGAAAAGCCCTGGCTAGCAAAACAAGGAGGGAGGCATTGGGATGTCCTTGCTAAAGTCAGGCTTGAGACATTCCCCATTCCTTGGCCCCGCGGTCTAACGGCGCTGAGCGGCCGAGGAGCACCGCGGCCTGCCCGAACCCCTCGCGAGGGGCTGCCAAGCGGGTTTAGGCCTTACACGTTGCATTTTTTTTTTCCACCGCGCTGATATAATTATTTGCCGTGCCCTAGGCCCCTCTGTCTCCCCCTCTCCCTTTCACTCCGAGGCGGCCTCACAAGCCCTCGCTTTAAAAGGCCCGAGATGTTTTGCATGAAGCGCTCACAATAGGGGTAGAGGGAATTGACAGTTTCAAAAACAAGGCGCCCTGTCCTTTCCAGATGCCGAGGACCCCTCTCCCGCACCATCTCTCGTTTGCTCCTCGCTGCTGGTGGCTTTACCCTTAGCATTGCAAATATACGGCAACAGCTGTGTTTGT